ATCAAATATCGCAAGACATGACTTAGATAGACCACTATCACTAGAGGAGACCACACAGACTCTCTGAACGATGGCAAAAGGTAAATCTCCAGGTATAGATGGTCTCACTCTGGAATTTTACGCAAAACAGTGGTCAGTGGTAGGACCAGCACTGGTAGAACTTTACAACGAAGTACTGTTAGGGGGGAGATTGGGGGAGGTGACGACTCACGGCGTTATCACGGTCTTACTCAAGAAAGGGGATAAGGCGGACGTGAGGAACTTGAGACCGATTTCCCTACTTAATGTATCGTATAAAATCCTTGCAAAGACACTGGTAAGGAGATTGGCTCGCTACCTACCAGACTTAGTACGGGGAGACCAGGGGGCTTTTGTGCAAGGGCGGTCAATCTTTAATAACATAGTTATGGCCATAGAGGTGTTAGAGGTGGTGCAGGCGGAAAACTTGGATGTGGTGGTCCTTCTCCATGATCTAAAGAAAGTATATGACAAAGTAGGGTGGACCTTTGTACTAACAACGCTGAGACATATGGGGTTTGGGGTAGGCTTCTGTAAGTGGATGATAGCAATGTACACCTTCTCTACTTTTTTGATGGCTGTCAATGGACACTTGTCGTTGCCTTTTAGACTAACGAGATCGTTTAGGCAAGGCTGCCCCCTTGCCCTGCTGCTGTTTGTCCTTCAAATGGAAGTGTTGCTCAATAAGATTCGAAGGCACCCATATGTCGGAGGCCTCCAACTGAGAGGAAATACAAACTGCACAGTCAAGGCACTTGCGGATGATTTGTTCGCAGTCTGCGAAAACTCCAGGTCTGCCTTAACAACTCTCAAAGGAATAATGAGAGAATACTCGACACTTTCGGAAGCATCGGTCAACTGGTCCAAGTCAACCTACTTGCTATTGAAGGATTTGGAACTCAAAGTGGAATGGGGAATGCTCAGAGTAGAAGAAGGAGAAGAAGAAAGATTCCTAGTGGTCCTAATTAGTCTACAGGTACAGGAAACGACACAAGGGATCTTGCTCCAGCATAGAATAGCGGCTAGACTAAACCTGTGGGGCCGAGTATGGCACCTATCAATCTTCGGAAGAGCACTAGTAGCAAACATGTCCCTACTATCGATCATGTGGTTCGTATGCCAGGTAAGAGAAGTAGCAAACTGTGTGTGGACAACAATTCGTGGTCTGGTCGCCCGATTTCTATAGAACCCAACAGCGAAACGGTCTGAAGGCTTTTTGAGCAAGATGGCGTGTCACTGGGAAACTCTCACCTACCCGAGAGAACAAGGCAGACTTGGAATGCTGGACCCAATGACAAGGAACCAAGTTCAACTGTGCACATGGCTTTGCAAGGTGGCAACGACGGACTCCAACGAGCATTGGATACTCTTGGCAGAGAGGCTACTGATGTCCGAGTAGAAACTGAGTCGTCTGGAGGACACCTGGGCCTGTTTCTTCATTCCATCCTTTTGCAGAAAAGGAACGACTTCAAGATTCTGGAATGCAATACGAAAAGCATGGAAGAAGCAACCACCGGAGGTACAACATCAACTACACACCAAAGAGGAATTGCTCTCACAGATCCTGTTTGAAAATCCCAGTGTTAAACAACCAAATGGGGAACAACTACTATCAAACGGATCGGCGTCAACCTTTGGCCAAGCCTGAGTCCGTAGAGGCGTAGTGTGAGTCAGGGATTTGTGGTCCAATCTACTTGGGGGATGAAAACCACTGTTGGACGTGAAGAGTAAGTTAATGGAACTACACGGTGTAGAAGAACACTGGCTGCTGGTAATTCATGCCATACCAAAGGAATGGAAGGCGATCCTAGGGCCGGAAGGAGTTGATCCTGTAGGAACCTGGTACAGAGTGGAAGAGGAAGAAGACCCAGTGATAGTGTGGAAAATAGTGGAAGTTCAACCGAGTGGATTCAGGAGAGTCGGACGTTGGAGGGCTACAGAACACTCCAGCACTCTGAGTAAAGTGGGAGAGGAGGTGATAATGATGCGGAGAAACCCAAACCAAGTAAGAGTGGTGGAAATGGAGGGCAAAACGAGGAGGATGAAGATACTGGAATGGACAGGCAGGATCCCACTGAGGGAACTCAACATCGACCCCTTGGCATGAAGTTGAAACAAGAGGGTGAGCAGAGTCACCAACCTGGATCTGACCCTTTACGCGGTGAAGGAGGGCTACATATCTGCAAACTCTGCTAGACGACCGCCATCTGCAATTGCAACACAGTGCTGGCAAAGACTGTTGGGAGAAGAGATACCAGAGGCAGAAACAAAATTTAACCGACTGTAGAAAACTTTGGCCATCCTACCGAACGGTAAACAGGTGAGCCTGTTGTGGATGTTCTCGTTGCTGGTAACCCCGTCTGTAGTCTGGCTATTGAGCAAAGTAATGGTGGTGGAACTGCGATGCATAAGGTGCAACTGGCCGTTCGAGTCGACCCGACACCTGTGGTGGGAATGCCCGGCCTCCAAGAGACTCTGGAAGTGGTGGGAGTATCATTGGAAGAGGATGGGAGGTAGGGGAGTGGAGTGGGATGAGAGATGGGTCCTACTGGGGTTCCTCCCAATGGAGTTGAATGAAAAGGCAAGGGGAGGATACGTGGCGCAGGTGATCAGAGGCATTCTGTTCGAAATCATCTGGGAAGACAGAAACCATGCACGATTTCAAAACAGGCTCATGTCAGGCTTAGAACTGAAAGGGAAAGTCAAAGAAGCAATTAAAACAACAATTCGAGTGGACTGGAGAAGGAGGGCAAGAGTGGGAACAGGCAACAAAAGACAGATGGAATGGTTCAGGAAGACGTGGGTCAGGCAAGAGCAGTTGGTGACAGTTCACTCAATCACAGGACTCAGGTTATCTAAATGGATCCTAGAGCCACGTAATATAGGTAGTTAAGAGCAAAAGGGAGATGTGTTGGTCAGGGGGGAAATAGGGAACCGATAGATATAGAATAGACTAAATACCAGGACACTCGGTTCGCTAGAGTCGCAGTGGACTTACTAGTAGAGTGTCAGGATAGGCAGACAAGGTCCAAGGGGCCGCTTTTAGTCCCAGAGGCCGATTTAGGCCCGATAGTGCTGAGGATAAATGATTAAGGAAGAGTGAAAGAAAAAAATCTTTTGTAAAGATAGAACCAGGAAAGAGGAAAGTATGATACGAATTTGAACAGAGGCAATTAATTGTTCGCATTGATTGAAGGTTTTTCGCATTTGTTCCAGTCTATTGACTGTAAGCTAAACTGGCTGACGATGCTAGGATAACTTTGGGTAGAATTGTGAGGTCTCTGACCTCGTTCAATGATTTGGAGTAAACAGTTCTGTGATTGTTTAAAAAAAAAAAAAAAAAAAAAAAAAACACACCAGAAAAATTTTCCAAAATTAAATAATAATTCTATAGTAAAATTACATTCTAAATTTCAAATTTTCATTCCATCTTAAAAAATGTCATTCCAATTTTAAAAAATTTTGTCTTACTTGAAAACTTTCCTTCCAAGAATGGGGTATCCCTTCTTATTTGAACTGCATGCTAGAGATGGAATGAAAGTCTAGATGAGTTCATGAAATATTTTAATTGGACTGTCATTCTAACTTAGGATTTCCAGTCATAAATAGGCTAATCCAATCTAAATTAGAAGATATTTGTTGTAGTAGAATGAAAGTTTAATTAGAACATTTTATAAACTCGTCCAGACTTTCATTCCATCTTGAACAAATTGACGTAGTTGGAAGGGAAAGGCTAGCTGAGCCTCATACTTAGACGGGAACTTATCAAATAAAACTGTAAATTTTAGAATTGGACGAACGTTGGAATGATAATTTATAAATATGACGATTTTTTTTTTATGAAATGTTTTTTTTAACTTCAATTTCTGGTGGAAATTTTTCTGTTGAAGGTCCCTTTTATCTTTTTTTTTTTTTTTTCCTTCTTACACCACTAGTACCTCCGCCAGTGTTGGGAAATTACAATGTTTTGCCAGTTCCCGAAGAAATCGGAGGTGGGACACAGGATCGGCAATGTCCCATAAATCTGAATTTTATAGTGTCGCGAGTGAAAGAAAAAGAAAAAAAAGAAAATACTATCTCTACTGCAATGATATCGGGCAGGGTAGTCTTGGAGGCCGTGCTCAGAGTCTTTCCTCCATAGAATTCACGTCACCAGTAAGGCGGTCACATTCTAAATGTTACTGTGTGAATGTTACTGTTTTCTTTTTTTCTTGCTCGTGTGTTTCTTAAGTTCCCTGCCAATAAGGCAGGGGGGAATCCATGAATTGCTGAAGCCGTTGGTGATCTGCTCAAGCTGTGTTTTGTCAGAGGATTGTAACACTCATCACACTGTACTAAGGGGAATGTATCTAGCCATTTTCACGGCCGGATCCGTGTGCCCATTTTTTTCCCCTTTTATTCTCTTTTTCGAATCTGACAACCTGGCCACGGGGCTGAGATGCCCTCACTGAGGGCACACTCACACTACCACTTCCAAGTCTTAGAATGTATACAATTGCAATCACGGCCAATACATTGTTTTGTTTTTCTTTTTTTCTGAGTTCACGGCCCCAACTTTTTTTTTTTTTTTTTTTCCTTTCCGTGAGAGTACCAGAAAGAAAACGGACTGGTACCAGGGCCCAGATGAGAGGTACCAATTTTGCAATTGCGGGACGGGGGGGAAGGCGACCTTGCTTTGACCGACGCAATGCGCTCTGCCAAGCGGTACCGTGCCGGCAAGACCCGAGCTGTCATCCAGGACGCTACCAACAAGATAACGCCTGGGAGTCCACTCACCACTCGCCCTCCTCGAAGGGTGGCTATGGCGACATACTAGCCGTAGGTGTAGGAGGACAGACAGAGGAAGCGATTCCTCGTCCCCACCGATAAGAGTTGAGTAAGGAGTGGATGAGAACGAGGAGGAAAAGAGGAGATAACCGAGCGGAAGAAGTAAGATAGAAGTGTTTGAGTAGGAGATGGGAGTCGACACCTAGAGGTTGGAGGTGAGGGCACAAGGAGGTCTCCTGCCCCACAGATGGAGAGGGACTACTAGGAAGACAAAGACATGATTCAAGATTTATTACAGATGTGCTTTAATGAGGGAGTGTACCCAACAGAGATAGACTCGGGGGAGATAACGGTGGAAGGGAGAGAGGTGAGGCTCAAACTGAACACCTCGTTGGACGAGATCAAAGTCAAGTGGTTAAAGGATCGAATTGTGACCGTCATTTATGAGGATGCGACCAGATTCCTCCCAAAAAACATTAAAGATGGCTTAGTTAGGGCTTTTGAGGATGGATGGGTCATCGACAACGAGAGGTTAGGGGGAAACACGAGAAGAGGGAGAGTAAAGATTGAGGGGTCAGGGGTGGCTTCCTACGTAGCGAAGGCAAGAGTGGTGGTGCAATTTATGATATCAGAAGGTCAGGTCGACGTGACACTTGGCTCGAACACCTACAAAATTATATTTAAGCCGTGGATGACCTGGGCGGAATTCGGAGACTTAAGAAGACAGGAGGATGACAACGTGTTCTGGGTGACGGCGCTCCAAATTCCACTCAATGTCATGCCATTTATTTATGCTCAAATCGAGAAGGCCATCGACAAGATCATCCTCGCGCATCCACCGGACGTAGATCCATCCAGACCTGCGCAAGTCAATGCGAGATTTGACCTGGACCCAGAGTCAAGACCTAACATAAAGGATGTCCTATGGATCAAAACGTCCAAGGGCAACCTTCAGCACACCAAAATGCAGAAAGTGTAGGCAATTTTTCCATACCGAGGAAGAGTGCAGAAGAGGGACTCGATTCGGGAATCAGGGAGTAGCAGAGAGGGCGACAACCTTGACAAGTGAAGCACAAGGATATCAACATCGCCCGATGGCAAGTCCATCGGGAGGAGGGCAATCTCAAGGTGGCTATCAGGGACCACTGGCCCCAAGGCCAACGCACCCAGCCCAAGCAAGCAGTTGGTGGCGTTCAAGGCGGCTCGTTGAGAGACAACCCCACGTTCTCCCTTGGAGGGGGGGGTGGGGGGCAGAGTGGGCACATGGGCAACTTCGCATCGGGAGACACCCAACTACAAGGAGGAGGCGGCCTGAGAGTACCCCACTACGATACTATTCCAGGGCAAGGGGCGGCAACCCAACAGAATTGGGCACTTCCAGGCGGGGTCACCCTAGATTGGTTCCTGGCGAATGGTTATTTACCATGCCCATGGCCCAGGCGGCCACAAGGATATGGAAGTCTGGGCGGAGCCGTGCAAGGGGGCTTAACAGGACTATAGGGCGCACAAGACTCAAGTACTGAACCCATCAGGCGACCAAGGGATTGGCAACGGACGTACATTTGGCCTCCACCCAGGAGGCTTCAGAGTCGATGGCCAAGGGAATGGCAGCTCAAGTATGGTCTCGATGCTGGGTTGAACGACCAAATTGGAGAAAGCTCGAGGGGAGGAGGATTTGTAGAGGATTTACAGGGAGAGCAGGGAACCGACAGTACCCCCAATCGGTCAAGAGGCAGAGGTATGTAGAAAAAGCGAACGCGAGAGCAATCAAGAAGCTCCAGGATTTCAAGAGAAGAATCAGAGAAATCGGTTGGGCACGAAGTGGGTATGGTGACGCCGGGAAACAAGACAACTTGAGACAGAAGATTGGCGTCGTTTGCATGAGTACAAGGTACAGAGATGTCGCAATACCTTCTCCCTTTGCTGTGCACAGTGACTCGCAATGCTTAATGGGTCATCGTGTGGCAGAAAGGGCAAGATCCCTTATCTTTTTTTTCTCAAGCAGTCTTGAATATACCAACCTTACGGGTAATCGAGGATTGCTTGAGGAATCTGTACTTAGACGCCTTTCCCACCCGAGTTATCCCAGACATACCTATGCCGAGGGTTTTGTTCGGCCCGTCGAGGAACAAAGTAAAGTTTTACTTACCAATCATTAATGCTAGACTGATAGAGAGCAAAGTGACAGAGCTCGAAGCGTTAGGTCTCTGCTTAGTCCCGATGGCCCTATTCGTAGACTGTAAGAAACAGGAACTCGCCCGCCTCATGATTTCCCCCTTGATGGTGACAACAGACGCGATAGCAGAGCTGAAAATTCGCATGCCGAAAGATAAGAAATTAGACTCACAATTCGTTCATTTGGCGCTCACTCAGGGATGGTTAGGAGGAGGGGTAGCTACGCCAGCCCAGATCCAGTTAACACAGGGCAGGAGCGGAAGAAATGGTTAGATACCGCATTGTGTCTTGGAATATGCAAGGATTCGGAGATACCTCCGGTAGCGATAAATGAGCGAGGGTCAAATTTTGGTTGCATGATAACAAAGTCTCCATCGCTTGCCTTCAAGAGACCAAACTCTATCATGAAAAGATTCAAGCCCTAGGTCGGTGGTGGGACGGGCCACAAATTTGGTCTGTTGCCAAAGGCATGAAAAGGGGGGTCGAAATCTTGGTGGACAAAGACTTGGGACCAAATATTGTCGATTACTACGCCGACCTCTGGGGCCGTTGGGCCTGGGTAGTGATTAGGCAGGAAGCACTGACGTGGGCAGTGGTCTCGGTTTACGCGTCAGTAAGCAGAAAATAACGTGTTGTCTTTTTTGACGAATTGAGAATCGTGCTACCAGACATGGACGGCGTGGTGATCGAGGGTGATCTGAATACCTCTTTAGATCCTACCAAGGATCAAAAATGCCAACCGTATGATTAAAACCGCCCTTCGCAGGAATTTAGCGGCACATGACACGCGTCCTTGGCCCGAGATCGTATATTAGATCGTCGGGATCCACCGGGCCACCCCTCACGAGTCCACGTGGTTTACCCCTTTTCAGCTTTGAACTAATAGCCTTCCCTGTGTCGACTACCGGTGTAACTCGGAAATTGTCGAAGCAGGGGGTAGAGACACGCGTGCAACTCTCAAAGCCAAGGCCAAAAGGTACACCGAATTAATGGAACGGACCGTCCCGAAACTAGCCCGAAAAAGGCAAAGGATGACCGAACTGGCCCACGGTAGACAGGTCCGTAGCTACGAGGCTCGGAATGGAAATGTTGGGCCCCAGCATCAATATAAATTAGGGGACCTAGTGCAAGTACGTAAATGTGCACACGACCGGAAACTCGCTCCCAAGTTTTCTGGCTGTTTTCGCGTTGTCAAGCTCGGACCCAACGGCACCGACACGGTGCGCATCGCGCCTGAGGCTAGTGCCAGCCATAGCTCTGTCCCCATCGTCCGACATACCTCCTACCTCCGTCTCCTTCCTCCTTCCAATCTTCCTCCCTCTTCTTCCTCGGAAAGCGAGGAGAACGACGACGATCTAAACCTCTCTCCGCTCTCTCCCTCTTGTCCTTCGACATCCTCCCCCACCTCGCCATGAGTTTTATCACGGAGCGGGTTCTTGACGCACAACTGTTGCAGCCACGTGGCCACATCTCAGAGATTCGACAAGTTTGTCACCCTCGGCTCAATGCGGATCTTCGGCGTTTGATGCGATTCTTCTGCGACGAAGGTATCTGTGCCGCCGCCGCATTTCGAATCGAAGGAAGTCCTCACGCAGTGGTATTCGAGGAGGTAACCGCAGTTCATCGGCGAGCGGGTCCAGAACAAGCCACGTCACCACGGTTGCAGCGTTCAGCGGCGACATCAGCTCGGTCAATCAGCAGTGGCATACCACGATCTTGACCTCGCTGCGCGAGTGGACGGAGCAAGTGTCCAACGTGTGGCAGCACGTCCTCGCCCAACAGGGGTATAACCTCATCCCGATCTTTGCACCAGATCTTGGCGATATTCGCCGATCACCGCGCGAGCGGCCTGTTGCAATCCCAACGCTCGTCCCCTTCCCACATCCCCAATGAACCACGCCGATTTTCTCGCTCCTCTCTCTATCTTTGGTCTCCCCTCTCTCTTCCCCACCTTCTGGCAATCCGATCTTCATCCTTCTCTTTCCTTCTCGTTCGAGCCTCTTTCGGTCCCTCTTATCAATCCTGGACATTGGCGGTTGTGGCGCGAAACTTTTGAGGAGCTGTCTTTCTGCTTGGCCAGAGTACCGGTGACGTGGACACAGACCAGCGGGCATCCTGCGTGGATCGAAAATCCGGAGCTACCAATCATCCAAGCTTGGAGGAACCCAGGGACGAGGATACGCTACCATCATGGCAGGAGTATCTCAAGCCGTACGATATCATCCCTCACGCCTTTTATCCAAGGGCGGAGGAAGTGGTGATTGACGACGACGAAGAAGACGAGGACGAGGAAACATCAGAGGAGGGAAGCTATAGTGAACATAGCGAGGGCGAGCTGAGCGAAGGAGAAGAGGAGGAAGAAGAAACCGGATCTGGGTGGGAAGCCTTGCCGGAGGAAGCGACGCGTACGGGAACGGAGGCGGAAGATCCGGAAGCGGGGCGAAAGCGCGAAGAATTGCCACCTGGAAGCGCCAGCTGGAGTTCGCCAGCGAAGCTAGCCTGCGCATCAGTAACGATCCAACCAGGGATCCAGAGCCGCCGAAGCCCGAAGATGGCGACCCTGCAGCCGCCACCTCGAGTACCGCGCGACAGAGACGGAGTCGGTCTCCCTCCTCCTCCAGCCCCACCCGTCCCCCAGTTCGCCCACGTACCGATGCGGGCGATAGGCCTTCGTCCTCGGACGCTGTCCTGCCGACCCCTTGATTTCCTCACCCTCGAGAAGATCCGTACCCCCGCCACCTTCCCTTCCCATCCCTTCCGCGACTACCGCCTACTCGCCACCGTCCACCCCCACGCCTCCCTTCAATCCGCTGCCCCCACATTCTGCGGGCATCTCCTGCTGTTCAGCGCTGCATGGGAGCGATGCAACGTGGTAGAGGTTTACTGCGTTGCCACAGGAACAATCCCCGCCTGCCGCCACTACGAGTTCTTTCGAGCGGTGCTTTTCCGCACCCTCTCCTCCTTCTATCGTGACTACCTTGCTTCCCTCCCTCGTAGCGGCGATCACTTCCCCCACTTCCACCGGATCATCCGATATGAGGAGCTTCTGGTGACGATGGAAGGAATGAATCGCTTCCTACCCCCACTCCCTCCCCGTCGACCCCGTGAAATCCCCTCCATGTACCGCCTCTATTGGCCCATTCCGACTAGAAGGTAGATCCCGATCACATCACTACCCCCCCTCTCTCTCCCTCTCCTCTCTTCATCCAATCAGCGGGGGAAAACGACATGAATCAGTAAGCTTCACGAAGATCACGCCATCGACGACGATGTCAACTCACGCTCTGATTCGACAGGCAGCAACCAGCTGGGGTGCAGAGCACACGGAGAACCAGCGGACGATGATGGCGTCACCTGGACGACCATCAAGGATTCCAGCAACAGACAATTGCAATTGAAGTTGGCGTCAACATGAACTCTCACTGGATCGTTTGTTGATACGCTTGGTTCCTCATGCATCACTCTGTTCCGCCATGACATGCAATGAGGAGATCGCATAATTTTGGAACCCCCTGCGCGTCACATATGTAACGAACCACTTACCGAACCCGTGCTATCTTTTGTACCCCTTTTGGCTTGTATCATACCAACCCCATAAAAACCCCGTTTTCGTTTTCTTGATTTTGGGTGCCGCGTTTTTTTTTTTGCTCCCATCTTTCGGAAAGTTTTTTTCGACTCCCGGGTTCTGCTTTTCCTTTCTGCACTTCGGGAAATACATAGGAAATTACGTGCGCCTTAGCAAGCGCACTAGGAATTGGGCTCGACAGTTAGGAATTCCGGGATAAGCAGAACTTCGACGTGTCTTTTCCGTATGTGTGAATGTTCTTGGTCGCGTCGAAGAAAACTCTCGAAATTTTGCGTGAATACGAATAGGCGTAGGATTTTTTTTTCCCGCGTCGCTTTTTCACGCGCGGATATCGTGATTTCAATTTTGAATTAGGATAGAAGCAAGCTGTAACTGTCTCGGTGCCTTTTCTCTTTTTTTTTGTTGACGACGCCGCGTATGCAAGCTTTCTCCTCTCTGTCCCCCGCATCGCTCCCTCCCGCGCCTCCTTTCCCTTCTCCCTCCTTTTTCTCTCTCCCCGTAACTGTTTTCTTCTCTCTCTCTCCCTCCCGCCTTGCTTTTTGCGCGCCCATTTCCCTTCTTGATCGTCTGAATCTTGGACCCATCTTGCGCTACGTCTCGCGCCTTTTCTCTTCTCACCCTCTGAGTCTGGCGCACGACGCCCGGTCGATCCATCGATAACTCCCGCTCGCCAATCAGGTGTGTGGATCAATAGGACCTTCCTATTGCGCGGCGAATCTGATTGATTGAACCTTGAGTTTCAAGGGATCAACATGGCGTTCGTAGAGCATTCTTCTCAAAGTCTTCTCGTCCTGCTTCTCCTCTTACACCTCAGCTTTCCCGTCGCTTTCTCCCCCTTCTATCTCCCTTGTCGCAACTATAAGACCCGCAAGCGCGTCCGCAAATCTCTCTTACATTCTCCACTCTCAAGCCAACTTTCGGGAAGCAGTGGCTAGGCAGAGTGTTTGGTGCGAGTCGGAAAGTCCTGTCGGGCTGACGATAGGCTGGCCGGTTGCGCGTTGGATCGCCACGACAGACTGTGGGATCTGGGAGAACTGTGTCGAGTCCACGACAACGGGGTGACGATCGCAGTGGTGGGAGTTAGCACGCGGCGGCCGGGATTGTCAGTACGGGTATGAGGATTGATGATTGGAGTTGAGTGAGTGATTGGTCCAGGGCCATGCTGGAATTAACAGCGAATGCGCCTTTGTTCTTGCGGATCTTTCTCTTTGACAACGCTAAACTTCCTTTTTTTGGGTTGCGTCATCTCCTATCTCGACTCTCCCCCCCCCCCCCCCCCCCCCCCCTCTTCCCCTTCTCCTCTATCTTTGAACAACGATGTGCCTCGATGCTTCTCTCCTTCTCCCTCTCTTCTGGATAAGAGTGAACTTGCATGCTTTCCATATGTGAAAGAACTTCTTCCGGAACTCTTCCATTAGTTTCTTGGGTAATCCTCATGCGCAAGGGCCCCGCCTTCTTATCTTGTGAACGGTGGATGCGTGTGTACTGTGTAAGCAATCCATCTTTTCCTGTGCATGGCTCATTTTTTCGCATCTTCCACAGTGAATGAATGTATGGAAATGCGCGTCTCTCTGGCGTTGATTAGACGATTGTTGTCGGGATTTTGTCCGAGAATGCAAGAGTGCTTAGATCTGTAGTTTCGGATGCACTGCACATGCCATCTGCCTTATGCTGCACGACATCAGCAGCCAAGCCACCGGGAGGCCTTGAGAAACAAGGCGCCGGGGACCACGTTGTGTTGGATCACTAAAACTGAGTCGCGGGTCGGTCCCTTAGCCATATGCATGATCAAGCTGATGCGTGTTTTTTTTTTTCTCTCTCTCTCTTGTGTTGAAAAGGATTGATTGGGGGATGCATGAGTGTTTTCTGTTCTTGATGACGTCTCGAGATATTTGCGGTTGATTGATATGTGGACTGACAAGCACCCTTCGATCGGGCGCCAGCCTCCCGTATCTCCCATCTCAACACGACCTTTTCCTTACAGCGAGGAAAGGACACGTGTATGCGAGTGGGACGTACGAGAAGCCGTCGCACAAATCGGTGGGCAATATTACTTCCCTTCGGCCAACCGTTGTTCAGGGTTCGTAGATGCTGGGTTTGTCATTATCGATACGCACTTTCCACCCTACTCGATATTGTTGTCATTTAACGAGCTGATCGTCATCCCGTGGACGGCAGTAGAGCCCCATTGGCCTCGAACCCTGTGTACAGAGTGCCAGCGCTTCGATCACTACTAAGCGAAGGGTTTCCACTACCGAATACAGAGTGAAGACGAGCATAAGGAACGAGCCACGCGGCTGAGACCATCCACGTCGGACTCAGAACTGACCAGCGAACGACGTCGAGATTTGATATGGAAACGGGACACGCGAAGCGTACCAAAGCCCTTCCGCTCTAAACGACGGGCCGTGGCACGGTGGGAAGCCCGACAATACTTTTTGGATTGAATTTGGATTTTTCTCTCTTCGCGCCTTGCCTGCGCGCGCATTTCGCGAGGCGCGAAAGCAATCGACTTGCTTCATCCGACCAACATGGGGGATTTCAGTTCCGTCTGTGTCCCCACACTCAATTTCCAAAAATCTTTGGCACACCCCGTCTTGCTGTTTTTTCTGGGCCTTTTTCCGCACGTCTCACACTCCGAACGAAAGACAGCACAGGGCGTGAGGTTGCGCGTCACAGACATACCAGGGCACTCGGTTATCATCCACGGTAGGAGGCAGAAGAGAGGGAGGGCTCGAGAGTGCCTAGGTTTAGTGGAACCATGGTAGGTTCCAACGGCCGTGGTAGGCAGTCGGAGAGTATTTTTAGTAGAGTGTGATGAGCATTAGGTGCGGAAGTGGAGGGCCAACCCACGAGCTAGTAGCTAGTAGCAGTAGTTTTAGTACCCAATAGGTTCTAGCTCACTGTAATCAGCATGAATGTAGTCTTCTACTCCTTGGCTAGTTGTCTTTAGCTCTCTGTTTTGTTTGGTTAACTGGACAATCTTTCCAGCAGGTAGTTAGGTGGCTGAGTCGTTGGGCAAAAGTAGCCCACTTTGGGGATCGGAAGAAAGGTGCTAGGGGGTTGGAGGGGAGAAAAAGGAAAAAACAAAAGTACTCTGCTTGGTTGAATGGGTGGGTCTTTCTTTGGCATGCTTGTTTGCTGAGTTGTTGAGCCGAAACGCTCACTGAACACTGGCTGGGCTTTGCTCAGTAGTCAGGGCTACGAGTCGTTCCGGGTTGTTTGTGAGGATTCCCGGCCTCATTGTTTGGTCTATAATGGATTTCTCGCTTTTTCCCAAAAAAAAAAGAAAAGAAAAAAAAAAACGGGGTGGTACCCAGGCAGCCAGGCTCGGCAAACTCGGAGCGCAGTGAAATTCAGGGTCGGCAAAAACAGGCCCGGAGGTAAAAAACAAAAAAACAAAAAGAAAATAAGCGAAAAATTGCGCGGGTTCGTGGCTTCGGTCTTCTTGCTCAGTTGGCTATCGGAATCACCCATCTCTGTCAGGGAGTCGTAGAATGCAGAGGAGGGGGGAGAAAAGCGGATCCGAAATCCATTCCAAGGAGAGGCGAGTGCGTGGGCAGAGGGACACGTCATCATGATGATGATGGCGGCGGCAAGTGCGGTGGCTATGGGGTCGACCTTGACTGCTTGCTCAAGGGGCGCGGGGGCACCGTCCTGGCGCCATGTGCACTTTCGTCTTTTGGCGGTTATTTTGGGTGCCATTTTGGCGGGGACGATCTGCTGCGTTGCCAATGCCGACCCGTCGCCCTCCTCATCACTCCATCTCAATCTGAAAATCAGGCCTATTTATCCTCGCGAGCGCGACGTCGAAAGGAGGGGCCTTTCCCTGTTGGACGAGATCAGACGTGCGAGTTTCGACGAAGTCCTTGGCTCGTCCTCTGCTCCTTTCTCGGCACCATCCCTAACGGCCTCTCATGCTCCTGTTCCGCCATCGCCGAGCTCTTCTCCTTTTCCATATCCATCATCATTAGAGTCACCATCATCATATTTTGACGGCGTCCCTACCGGTAGTTCATCCTATCCTCCCGCTTCGTCCTCCAGTGCACCTTCTTTCGATTACTCGACATCGCCAAGCTCATCGTCTCCACTTTTCTGGTCGCTCTCCCGGCCATCGAGATCCAGCCCTAGTTTCGCCGACCCAGACTCGATCGGGAGCAGCGCAGGCCTCCCTCGCTCAAAACCTCCTCGTGCGCCGCGTGTCCGCTCCTCTGCTTCTCCTTCCTCACGGCCTTGCAAGTCGCGCGCGTGCCGTTCCCCCTCCTCCTCCAAACTCCGCCGCTCATCTGCTACTCCTTCTCCGCCATCGTCACAATCTTCCTCTTTATCTCGTCCATTGCCCAGTTCATCGTCTTCACCTGCCTCGCCAGGTTCTCAGGGAAGCGAGATCGGATCTTTCGCATCCCGCTCTCTCGTCTCGAGCGGCCATAGACATGACGGTGTCGGACCTCCAGATGTCTCTTCCTCCTCGCTATACTACCCCCCGCCGCCTGAAAGTAGCACACCGGGTTCTTCCTTCGCCTTCCCAATCTCCTCCTCCTCCTCCTCGGCTTCCTCCTCGGCTTCCTCCTCATCGTTCCTTCCCCCCTCCTCCTCGTCATCGTTGGTTGATGGGAGCACATCGCTTCGGAGCGGTCCCCCTAGGGCATATGTGCCCCGCGTGGTAGGCAGTTTGGCGCTAAGGACAGAGGTGAAGACCCGATTCACCGTGGATGTGATGATGGGTACGCCGCCTCAGATTAGAACTTTGGATGTGGGGTTTTCAGAACACCTGACCTGGACGTTCTGCTATTCTCCAGACGCCTTAGTGGATCTGAGTGCTGTTAATGCCCCGTTCGAACCAGAGTTAAGTAGTACATACCAGACAGCCTCCTGCTTAACTGCCGGCTGTAGGACTCTAGCTCAAATCGGGTCTGGCCGGTGCGAGATGGAGGGAAATTGCACCGTCTCGCACGCGTATGGTCAGGCCGGACAACACAGTATTCAAGGGCAAATGGTGTCGGACTTCCTGATGCTGAAGAACGACGACCGGACACGTGTTCGATTCGACAATATGGCGTGTATCACGAACATGCGAGGCATGTTTGCCAATTATTCTACCGATGGGATCCTTGCTCTGGGCCCAGCGGATGGGACTTTCTTTGCCGCCGTGACCCAGCAATTGCAACTGCCACAGATCTTGAACCTTTGCTTCAATGCCTCCGGCTATCTTCAACGAGTGGGCTCCTCAGAACCTCTCAATCCGATGTCGGCTGTGCAGGATGACGGTGGGAGTTTAGTGTTTGGTTCCCCCCCTGATTGGGTTCAATACCCTGAGCCCCACGTCATAGCGCCCTTGGGGAAAACGTCGCTGTCAGCTAGAGTACCGTATGCCAATTACGTGTCCTATCTGGTAAGTTGGAGCATCGGACCCTCCTCCTCCTCCTCCTCCTCCTCCTCCTCCTCCTCCTCCTCCTCTACCTCCTTCTCCTCCTCCATCTCCTCCTCCTCCTCCTCACCCTCCTCCTCTCTGAACCCCCCGGGAACAGGTACTGTGTTCTTCGGGTCGAACTCGTTCCTGACGCTAGTTCCTAAGGCGAATCTCTCCACCATCGTAGAGGCCATCTATCGGGCGACTTCGTTGTCACCCTTGCAGTCAGTTACAGATTTGACCGTGTACCAGAGGGCAGATTTGCGAGAGTGTAGCGTGAGCGATTTCCCTGAAATTAGTTTCACTTTTCAGGGAGGGGTAGTTCTAAGTGCCAAGCCGGAAGACTACACCGTCACTTTCCCTGATATCCAGCAGGGCTGTCTCATCGTGCTGGGGTTTTCGGACATGAGCGCGGACGAGTACTTCGATCTGGGGACCTCTGTGTTGCAATCCAAGTGGTTGACCTTCGATTTCTCTGGGCTCACAGGTAGTTTCAGGGTCGGGAATGGGCCGTGTTCTCAGGCTCAGGGGTAAGGCTTAGCGTGCTTTTGCGTGGAAACCTCCGGCTGTGTGCTGCGTATTGCTATGAGACTCCGAGTAGCTGGATCCCGATGTGTTCAGGTGCAGGAGAGAACCTCTCATCGTTGGGATCGGGATCGGCCGTTGTTCTCAGGGTCGACGGAGAGAGTTGCGTGTGGCGCGAGAGCATGGATGTGTTCTGGGTCTGTCGGGATCTGGAGGGCGTACATGTTCACTCGCACAACGACTTTGAAATTTCCTAGATCATGGAGGAACCTAACTGCGATTGCAGGCAGATTCAGCAGTTCAAAAGGTACTTAGTCGTCCGTTTCCTCTGTGACCATGACATCAAAATTCGGAAGGGTCAAACGTAATCCTCCTCGGAGGTTGACCCTGTAATTTAATGTTGACGTCTGCGTTACAATGATAGAAGTGGCTGGCCTTTGAGTTTCTCAGGGGCCAGAGGCAGGCTGCGCAGACTGGGATCGGATCCAGACTTTACCCAGACCTGAATCTTTAGTCTTTCCCTCGATAACAACGATTTGAGTGTCGCCTCTGCCCAGGCCCGCGGAAATGGAGCCATACGGAAGGAAGAAACTTGGCGAAATTTCGACGACGTTTCGGTTATGGGTCGGAGAAAGTTCTCTGGCAGTGGGTAGAGAGTGCGTCGAAGACACTCCTAGCACGTTTCGAAGTCCAACCAAGAAGAAGGGCACACCGCCGAAGAGCTTCCATAGCCAACGCCGTCAAAGAACACCACCATCGACACGTGTCAGAACTCCGAGGCAAGCGATTTGCGCCCATACGACGCCGCCACGTGTTCTCAGAGGCAACCGGTGTGCATCTCGACGCTCTCAGTGGCATAGCAATCGCCGTAGCAATCTCGAAATTCTGTGACGTTCAAACGTCAAATACAGCCTTTCTACGCCACGTGTTAGATCCTGCCGTCGATGTCAGGCAGGTTCTTTCCCGATATTTCTTGTTCTTGCTTTCAAATGATAAATCCCATTCTTGCTTAAACATTAACATTATCACGAAATAATAAAGCAGAAAAAAAATAAAAAGCAACATAAACTCTCACTGAATTCGGTGAGGTACTGCCTCCAGTGTCCTCGACTCCTCGCTGTGAAGAGTGATATAGTTAGGTATAATTATTTGGGTGCTGGGATCCTCTGCTATTCTACCACCAGTACTTGTCATTGCTGATATGGCACACTTATTTTAGTACATTTTCCGTTATATAGTGATTGCCATTCTTCCACCTGGAATATTGATGTATAGTCATTCGCTTGCTGACTCTAGCACATACTGCGAAGACAGACAGCTATTTTATCGAAACAACTGCGGCTTGAGTGTAGTCCGCGAAATAATAAAGCAGAAAAAAAAAAAAAAGAATATGTATTTCCCCTGTTCCGATTTACTTGTAGAAGCTCTTGTATCCGCACGGGGGAACGGGAAACTCCTTGTCAATGAGCGATTCTTTACTTTGCCTTCTTTGAATTCTTAATTCCTTTTCTGGTTAAGAGGGCATTCTGTTGTAATCGTCTTAGTCGAGGGATCGGACGGTGCCAAGGTCCTGAGCTATGCGGGATGACATAACTGGATTGTTGTCTGTTTCAGCAAAAAAAGCCGAGGCAGTGTTCGTACTTAGGGCATACTCACACTGGGTCATTTGCGGTCAGATACGTTCAGCCTGTTCAGGGCAGGCCTTTACTGCGCTCATATACATCCAGAAAAGTCCTAGTAGTGTGAGGATTCCCTTGCAGGAGTAAGGGTGAAAGCTAGTCATAGGGAAATATGCTAGCGATGGGATAGGCATGGACGACTCTATGGCTGCGGTGACGGCGGTGAGGCTTTGAAGTCACTTACCTCTGGATGAGCAGGATGTGCGATAGCATGGAATCTGGAAGGAACCCTCGTGCTGCAGGTACGTGGAGAGAGAGAGAGAGAGAGAGAGAGAGAGAGAGAGAGAGAGAGAGAGAG